ATTCTAACCGGAGTAGGATCAACCACGAGTTGGGCACCTTCGCTGCTCTTGCTGATAACCCTACTCATTCCAACATCTCCTCCATTATCCATAGCTTTTACCTGTATTTTCAAGCTCTGAAATCCATCCATTATTAACGTCGTACGAGCGTCAATCAAAGCACCTTCGTCCACCAACTCTGCTGCCGTGTGTGCCCGCATCCCATGTCGAGAAATCAATGATTGACCACCCATTGAGGTTGTTGTTGGTTCGAAGACGGGATTTGCTTTTGCATTTTACGTCCACCAACCTACAATGTACTGATCTGGTAACAACATCACCTATTTCCTAAGCATAAATGCGAGCATGTGACGACAATGATATCCTTCAAACTCAAATGTTGTTATCTTATGAGGCACCTCGTTCAAGTCAGTGTGGTTGGCAACCAATTCGCTATGTCGCTAGTGAGCCAGAGCACTAGGAAACTGTGTGATAAAATCCATTAATGTATCTGTCTTATTGACATATCTTTTGAAAAAACGCATGGTTGCTTTCTGATCGTTGACTGCTTGACATCCCGGCAGAGAATATATGTTTCACGTACACAGGTACCCAACGACTTCGTATTTCATACATGTTGGCAAGCCACTCATTATCACCAAGATCAGTAGTTTCCATCACATCAGCCCAACGAGATTCGAACTCCTCTAGGGACTCCAACTGCTTAATGATACTCACCAGGCCATGGTATAGTTCCTTGTAAAGCACGGGACTCATCTTCTCTGAGAACTTGTTTAGAATATGCCATAGACAGAACCTATGCATTGTGTTAGGAAAAACCTCACCAACTGTTCTAGCAATGGCAGCGTCTTGATCAGTAATAATCACCCTGGGGGCTCGTTGGGTAGGCATTGCTTCGACGAACTTCAAAAACAACCAAATAAATGAATCGATCTTTTCATCACTCAATAAGCCACATTCAAAAATAGTAGTTTGCCGATGGTGATTTACTCCAACAAATGGTGCAAACACCATCGAATACTTGTTTGTGTTATATGTTGTGTCGAAAACGACAGCATCTCCAAAGTAAACATAAGAACTCATGGACTCTGCATCAGCCCAGAAACAACGAGCGAACACACCATCCTCGTCAGTCTCATAGGCGTAGTAGAAGCTAGGACTCATTTTTTCCAACTCGAAATGCACAATCAATGTTTCTGCATCGCGTCCAATGGCTTCTAGTCGCCGATCTCGTCGATGGTTCTTGATATCTTGCTCATTACAACCCAATGAAGAAGGCCCACCGGTATCTATCTCCATAAGTCTGATCTGTTGACAGCTAGGAATTTTGGCCTGTGAAAATTGGTCAGCAAGCGCTTTTTTGGTTGCAGAAACATGTCGATGTG